GTTGTTGTTGTTGTTGTTGTCTTTCTTTTTTTTTCCGGTTTCGGCTTCGGGTTGGGGATATACATGTTCAGGTGCAGGGATTGGATAGTGATAAGTAAGGATATATAGGGATGTGGATAGTTGGGAGTTTAAGGAAAGTATGGGTACTCATAAGTGTGGTTGTTGTTCCCCATCGTTTCTTTTCTTGGCGCTGTAGTGGCGCTTGCTTATTGGTGGTTCATAGGAACTGTAAGAACGGCAGATAGACAAACAGGGATGACATACGGATGTACACTGGTTTGCAGCAAAAGTAGTGGGGCTACAGGATCGGGACGTACTGCAGCTTGCAGCAATGCTCAGGGATTTGTCTAGGTTTTCGAATGCAGGTGCACCGGTTAAAGTTTCAGTTGTTGATCAAGGTTAAGGGCTTCTGGTTTGGGGTTTAGGGATTGGAGATTGCAGTTGCAGGTTTGGGGTGACATGTCTGTAGGATTTATTTGGGGGTCTCCCAAAATTAGGGGTACCTTTTTGGGGGTCCCCATAATAAGGACTATAATATGTTGGGGTCTATATTGGGGTCCCCTTATTTTGGGAAACTACCATTTAAAGTTCGGGGTCAAGCCCTACATGTATGAACCCCGCCAGCTCCATGCCACTTGCAACGAGATCTGAATACTGGAGCCCTTGTTGAACGAGGATGCAGCAATCAGGGTCCTTAACAGTGCATTTGGGCTCACGCGTCATGATTTGGAGGGTTGAGAGATCAGAGCTACAGGTACACAATTGTGTCCACAAGGTTTAGGGTTCGATGTTCGGAAGCGTGGCTACGTTGATCCCGACCACCCATGTAGGGGATATTTACCCAAACAACTCTTGAAAACCCACGGCATGTTATATGGATATCTGGGATCTTCGAAGAATAACAGCTTCTCAGCTGCGCGGCAACTCCACGAAAAGATTAATACCTAGCTGTATCCACGATACCGAACATCTGTGAAGCATGAAGTTGCAGGGTCATAACCCCAAGGGTAACGTGTGCGAGGTTTACTTCATGCAGCTGGCCTGTTAGCAACATGTTGTGCGGACAAATGCTGAATAAATGGCTGTCATGGGGCCAGTTACACCCACGCCAAGGGTAGATGAGAAAGACCGTGCGCCGACAAAGTGGGGCACATCAACCACAAATACACACTTGGTGTGTTCCTG